GTGTTTATAGTATTGTCCCCTATAGGTTTTTCTTATAAATCCTCCGCTGCGGTAAGTGGACGGTAAATAATTTTATTTTTAATAAATTACAATTTATTTAATTAAGTACTCCATTAGTTATTTTGATTTTCTACCAACCTTCATTTATGTGTTGGTGAATAGTGTAATATTCTTACTGAGCTAATGTAGCTTATTTTTTATTTAACCATTTCAGATCAATAAGACCAGAATCCAGAGTCCGATCTACAAGAGGGTTGCGAATAAGATACTACTTTTATTTATTTTTCGTTTATTTCTTCAATTTTTTTGTATTTTCATCAAAATGATAATTCTCGTAACACTATTTGGGACTTTAAGTTTATGTGTAAGGAATGTAAATCTTAACTATTTATTTCGCTTCAGCACTAAATTTATAATTTATTTTTTTTAGAATTTTCGGAGTTGTTACAACGAAGCTAATCAATATAGTTTTTAACTAGCATGTGTATCTTAATAAATACATAATATATTGTCAATGGAATTAATACTTGCCCAAATATGGAATTAGAAGTCTTAGACAGTAGTGTTCTAAAAACTATTTATGTCCACTCATGAAACTCTTCTTTTTATATATATATATAGTTTAATGATGAACTTGAGATATTTTTGTAATATGATACTAAATTATTTATTAATTGATATTGCTAAACATTATTAAGGGCATAATAATCTTCTAGTAATATGATTAACTTCTAAATAAAAACTATTTCAACCCACTAAAATGTTACGCATATATAATATTTTATGAAAATGGGTGCATAAAAATTTATTTTTTCAGGTCAATTTTTGGAATATATTTTGTATATAAAAGTTTTCTTTTCAAAAAATTAAATAATAACACTTTAATAATTTTTTTTCGACATTAAGATAAATACTTCATAAATTAAATACTTGATCAATTGTCTTGTTGAAAAAAGAGACTAAAAGAATAGGATTATCCTCCATTAGGTAAAGTCATCATGTAAAAATAATCTCCCTTGCTATCTCTAAGAATTCAAATGAAAGATAAAGCATCATAAAACTACAAACTAAATTTAGAAAAGATAGAAAGTGAAGAATAATAACATTTAAAAATAATTGGGCATCATCCTCCAAAAGTATAAGGATAGAAGCAATGTATAAAACCCACTTCAAAGCTTTAGATCAAATGCTCTGTTAGTCCTAAAATTTGAGATCCTCAGCATTATAGTAAATGTAACAACCTCGAAAATTCCAAAAGAAATAAATTATAAATTAAGTGCGGAACCGAAATAATTAATTAGAGTTTACATGTAATGGCTCCAGAAATTTAAAAGGAAATGTAATTTGAGTGCGGAAGCGAAATAAAAGTTAAGATTAACATCTCTTACACGATAACTTAAAAGTACTAAACAAATATCACGGAACAAATTCTCTGAAAAAAATACGAGAAATGAAAAAAATAAATAAAGGAAACTATAAAGTATCTAATTTCTACTCGCAGCCTTCTTGCGGATCGGGCTCGGGAATCATGTCCTCCTGATTTGAAATGGTTAAATAAGGGGTGAGCTACACTAGTTCAGTAAGGACATCACACTATATCGCCAGCACAGAATTAAAGGTTGGTAGAAAGCCAAAAACAACTAATGGAGCACTAAATTTAAATAAATTCGTTTATCATAAATAAAATTATTTACCATTTTACTTACCATTAGAGAATTTGTGAAAATAACCTATAAAGACAATAACATCATATAGATAATAACTTTATATACAATCAGTAATATAGAACGTATCATAAATTCATATTCATTGACAATAACTAATCATCACCGTTTCTCATTTCACCAGCCTACTAGTATCC